AAAGTCCTGGGAGGCAGGTGTCCAGATGTATCTTTAAGAACAGGTTGAGAGGAAGGATCGGAAGTGAGGGAGTAGTAGGGTCCAGGCATGGATGTGTGACAGGGCTGGAGGATTTGGGGGATAGGGAGTCATTTGCTGTGGATGATGAAAGAGCTAAGGTTGTTAGAGACCCTTCATGCCAGTGCTATGAGCCTGGACCTGATTCCATTGACGAGATTCAAACCCAGAGGACGCCGTGTTCCCGTGGTGGGGCTCGAGCTCTCTGTGCGGAAAAGCTGAGGATGATGGCAGGGCTTGGAAAACACAGCCTCTGCTTTAATGCAGCAGCTCTAAATTGTTCCCACTTGTCTTGGTAGGGTCTCCTTGAAAATGTCTTTTGGGGAAAAAATTACAGTTTAAATGGATGAGTGAAGGAATGAAGGCATAAAATCAGTAACTCCTTAGGGCATGGAGAGTCCGTGGATAGTTGGGAATGGAATGCCATCCCATTAGGATTCTGATTTAAATAGAATTTTATTAGCACTTTAAACAAAGAAGGGAAGCGGAGAAAAACAAAAGATAAACAAATCAGGCAAGATACTGGGGGCTCCCACTGTTCATCTCTTTATGGAAGAGGATGGAGGACAGGAGGTGCCGCGTAAAGCAGACAAGCGAGACCTGGAACACACTAGTTTCAGAAAGTACGAGTGAGAAACACGGGTGCCTTATGAAGACGGGGCTGTTGCAAGATGGTTACGTTCTGAGAGCCTTAGCAAGCCGTGGGAAATTCAACCGAGCTTTGAGAAGGAGCCCGTGATTCACATGTGAATTTGAGATCTATCATGTCTGTCATTAGAGCTGGTGGAAACAAAGAGATCTTCCCAGGAAAGAGGAGAACCTGCCAGCTCTGATATCTCCAGCTCTGTCACCTCCGGAGTGCAAAACGCCTGACACCTAGGATGTTGTCTACATGCCTTACTCTTGCCTGCCTCTCGTTCCAACAGAGCAGACATGTGGAAATGAACAGGAAAGCCAGGGTTGGGTCTGAGACACAGCTCTCGGCACACTGCAGTGGGTTACCGTGGTCTGGCAGACGAGGGTGAGAATCAGGTGACAGGAAGTGAGCACCTCCACAGTCCATGGGCGGTCTGTGGGCTTTGCCTAGGACACCAGGAGACCCCAGCCCAACAGCCTGTGGTGCACTGGCCACCGGCAGCCCATCACAGAGCAGTCTGTGAACACGGGTCGACTCAGACAGTCTGCACTCCCTCCATCCTTCTGTTGCCTATGCAGCAGTCCACATCCTGGGAGCGGACCTCTGCACGGACAGACACGCAGCCATCACTGGCCAGCCCCACCAGCCCACTCTACTCTAATTACCTAGACTGCCTTTGAGCTCTGAGAACCGGCAAAGATTCCTGTTCTTAGAATAAGTCGTGCTCGGTTACTCTATAAATCATTTGCCTTGTCCACTTGGATTTTGGAAGAAGAGGGACTTGTCTGTATTACTTACTGTTATGTGCCCAAGGGCAAAAAGGAGGGCTTAGAGAATAGTAGTAACTTCCTCGGGAAATCATTTTGGATGAAGGTTTGGATGGATGAACGGGTCGAAGCAGCGAGCCAAGGTAGAACTCGGCTCCGTCTGGAGGTTCCTCAGCTCCTCTGGGCAAGACTGCTGTTGGCCTTCACCTCTCTCATCTCTTCTGGTCCCTGCACAGCTTTGTTCTCTGCCCACGGGAGCTCCAGGATAACGCCTCCGGGTCTGTAATGGTGAGTGCAGAATATAAATAGAAAAGTAGAATTCAAGAAATTATAGCCTTAAGGATAGCAAAGGTAAAAGCTCACTGTGTTTTGTACAATTACGACAATTGTCATTCACATCATATGCCCAGTGTCTGTGGCTCTGCTGGGGGACGCAGAGCTGTCTGTGGGTGAACCTGGTCAGACAATAAAAACAGAGTTGGGTCTCTTATTTGACTGTCTTTTCTCTTCAATATCAGGTCAGAATACTTATGCAATTTACCATATATCAAATCTCTTTTCCCTGAGAAAAGACAAGAAAAAAGTATGCTTTGTGGATGAAAAGATTTTCATTTAAAAATCTTCATAATGGATGAATTAGACTATGTTGTATTTGCACATATGACTCAAAATGAGCAGTGGATTTGCTTTATCTAAAGTAACTTCCTTACTTTGCTCCTAAATGGCAGTTTGATGGTGTTAGTCCCTGATATCCTCGGTTGTGTGTGAGTTGAATGGAAACATCAGTAGTCAGATGTCTTTCCTCCTAACTTCTCCCCAGTGTATAATCATCCATTTTATTTTGATGGCGTGAGGCCAGAGGATGAAGCAGAGATTGATAAATTCTATAGTTTTTAAATGTAGCTGGATAGAAATTCATTTTTACCAGTTTTCCATAGCACGTGCAGATTTTAAGGTAAAGATTACCACAAATAACTGTATATGTGATATCTCAATTTTACATCAAATGGTGTCACTCATTATGGTTAAATCCTTGATAAATATTTAGGAAGCTAATGCCCTGATTTACAAAGATCCAATCACAGAAGATGGAAGGTTACGGACGTGTGGCTTCTGTACTCTGGGCTGCATCCTCTCCTGGTCCTGGCCTCACTCCGTGGCCACTCCTTTCCCCTTCCCTTTGTTGAAGTTCCTCACCTCCCTGAGCTGCTCGCCACTGGAACAGCCTGGGCTCTCACTCCTTATCCACACCCAGAAGCCCCACATCGATGGTGTCCTCTGCGTCTGCTCTTGTTTCTGTCCCTCGGCCAAACTTGTGCACCCACTTGCCGTGGACGTGTAGGAAGCATCCAGCTTGATACATCTGAAACTGAACTGGTTTATACTCAAAGCCTACTTCCCCCAAAGTCTCCTTCATGCTCGGTTCCTTCACACTCAGCCTTAAACCCTCACAGTCATTGGTCATGAGGCCCACGTCCCATTCATGGAAACACCCCCATGGCTGTGCCTTCAAACCATGGTGAGAGCCTGCCCACTTCCCACCACCTCTGCTGCCACATCCCAGCAAGGGTCCTACCCGCCCTCTGCCACCCTCCCCTCATTCTCACACAGCGCCAGTGACCAGGCAGAAGCCCCTGTGAGCCCCTGTCCTGCCCACACAGGAGTCTCCAGAGCCCATACCTGTCACTCACACATGTGACTGTCTGGAAGCTGTTCAACCTCACTGCTCATGCTCCCTCCGTCCCCTCTCTCCTGCAAACTGTCCTGTGCACAGGCCCACTCAGGCCTCTGTCCTTGGTTGTTTCTCTCCGTGACGTTCTTTCCAGATACCCAGTGGCTCCCTCATTTGTTCAAGTGCCTCCTCATAAGCCACATCCCAAGTACACTTCCCTGACCACCTGCTCGAGATTGCTGCCCACCCACACAACTCAGAGAATGTGCTATTCCTTCCTTCTTCCTTTGTTTCCCTGGTGCTTATCATCTTCCAACATCCTGTATAATTGGCTCTTTACATTACTATGGGCATAGTTTCTCGTCTTCAGCTGGATTTTTGACTCTATGAGGGCAAACATTTTTGTGTATTTTGTTCATCATTTCCAGTGCCAAGGGCAAGGTCTATTTGTTGAATGAATGAATTCCAAATGTTATATTAATTTTACCTCTTTTGTAATGAAATGTAGAGTCAATATAATTTTAAGATATGAAAATCTTACATTGTTAAAATATTCCAGGACTCACTCAAAAAGTTTTTATTTTGCTGATTTTTATATAACTCTTCCCATGTGATTTGCATATTCAAAGACGTTATTTGCTCCCTTAAAACCTATGATGAGTGACCGTGATGGGATGTATCACATCTTTTGACAAATTAGCTAATTCTTCTGTAAATATTACTTATGGAACTAGTTTTGAGGAGTCACAGTTCAGGATGTTCATATTAATAAGGAAACTTATTTTAGGTATCAGCCATTTAATGATAATCTTGCCCAGTTCCAAAAAGGAAACATGAGAACATGTGTGCATAGAGAGGACACGGTAACAGAGAATCTTCCTTATTACACGGATTCTCTAAATGTCTCTACTTCCCCATCAAATGATTATATATAGCTTTTTTCTTCCTTCAAAAATGGATCTCCAAGACACATGGAACAGGCCAGATTTTGTTGATGAGGACTGAAATCAACTGAAGAGCTGCTAAGACCAGCAGCTCTAAAAAATGCAAACCCACACCATTTCTGAAACTCATTGTATATGTCAGTGTCGTCTAGAGAAACAGAACCAGTGGGATGTGTGTGTGTGTGTGTGTGTGTGTGTGTGTGTGTGTAGAGGGAGGGAGGGAAGAAGGGAGAGAAGGAGAAGGAGGGAAGGAAGGGACGGAGGGAGGGAGATTTATTATAAGGAATGGACTCGCCTGGTTTGAGCCTGTCAAGTCCTGAGATCCGCAGCAGACATGCTGGAAACACAGGGAAGCCGATGGTATAAATTCTAGTCTGAAGTCTGGAAGGCTCCCAACTCAGAAAGAGTCAGTACTTCAGCTCAGGCCCAAAAAGAGGAACAAAACTGATGTCCTAGTTCAAATCATTCAGGCAGGGGGAGCTTCTCATTTGTGGAAAGTCCAGCCTTTTTGTCCAATTCAGTCCTTCAACTCATTGTGCAAGGTCCACCCGCATTAGGGAGGGCAGTCTGCTTTGCTCTGGCCGTGCATGCACGTGTTAATCTCATCCAGACACATCCTCTTAGAAATGGCTGGGAACCCCAGGGCCCAGTCAAGTTGCCACACAAAATTCCACTCCCACTTACTTTGTGTTATTTCCTTACTCTCTTATTTCATTAGGTTATGGACTATTTAGGACACCCTTCTATGGCATATTACAATTTTGAGTAAAAGGAAGTTTTCATTTTGTTTTATTTTTCATAGAGGTGATATTTGATATTCCTTTAGTCCTTGTGCAAAGTAAATGTCGCTTTAAAAGTACTTTATTCTGGCAATCATTGTGAAAATTTAATACTACAATAATCATTTTCCTTATCTTTTTCAGCCCTCTGTGGAGGTTACATCCATGGAAAGAGTGGGACAGTCCTTTCTCCTGGGTTTCCAGATTTTTACCCAAACTCCCTAAACTGCACATGGACCATTGAAGTGTCTCATGGAAAGGGTAAGGGTATTGCACAGACTTTATATGTACAGTATAATAATCAAGGGGCAAACGTGAGGGTAGAGAAAAAAGTATGCACGCGTGAACAAGTAAGTTAACTCATTTCTTCACATATATTTTAACTGTTTATTTGGATGTTTTATATCATTTTAGAAGAAAAATGGTCTAAAATGATTGATGTTACCATAAAAGTAGATTCCTTGTTTTACATTGAATTAGGTAACTTGGATATATGCAAGTAGGCGTGCTTGAATATATCCTTGAAAATTAGGTATGATGCTTGAAAAGTAGGTATGATGGTAAGGAAAAGAGATAAAACACAAGTACCAATTAAATCGGAGGAAATAAGAAATTATCTAAAGTTCTCATTTCCATGGTGATAAATCTAGGATAACTTTTTTAAAAATATTTTATTTATTTATTTGAGCATGAGCAGGGGGAGGGGCAGAGGAAGAGATAATCCCAGGCAGACTCCACACTAAACAGGGAGCCTGAAATGGGGCTTGATCTCGGGACCCCAAGATCATGACCTGAGCCAAAAGCAGGCACCCAACTGACTGAGCCACCCAGGTGCCCCTGGGATAATATTTTATACTTGCCTTGGTTCAAAATTTACTCAGTACTATTACACATAACAGATCATTTATCTTCGTCATCCAGTGATGATTTACGGAGCAGATTTTATTATCTTCATTTTATAGGTAACTATAGTGAAGGCCAGAAAGTCGGCAATTTGTGCAAGAAATGTAGTTCATAAATACTGGATATAGCATTGTACCCTGGGTCTTTTCTGTAGGACCAAATCTATCATTCCATAGTATGAAACTCTGATCACATAAATATCATGGACACACTGGCTTCACACTTAGCTTTGAACTCAACTCTGAACTCAACCTGCTTTTAAATGGACATATTAGATTATATACCCTGTATTACACTATGCTAGCATGTATCATGAATGCATGTTAAGAATTTCCTTGGGGTGGCTGGGTGGCTCAGTCAGTTAAGCATCCCATTCTTGATCCTGGTGCAGGTCATGATCTCAGGGTCATGAGATCGAGCCCCACATTAGGCTCAAGGCTCAGCTTAAGATTCTCTCTCACCCTGTGTCTGCCCCTCCCCACCACTCCTGCTTGTCTGCTCACTTTCTCTTAAAAAACAAAATGGAAAAAGTTCCTTGAAGGAAATTAAGAATAAAGAAGAAACAAATTGTGAGTGACCAAGAATTTGTCATAAAAATTAGTATTTTTATTTAAAAGGAACTATTTGTAGTTAATTTTATTATTAGTAGTGTAGGAAACCACAATACTTTGTTGGTGTGGCTAATATGAGCACATGTGTGTAAGAGGAACATAAAACTGTGATCTCAAAGAATTCTTCCCCTAGTTGTAGAAGTTTATAGGCTAGACATCCAACCTAAGATTTCATAAAGGATACTTGTTAAATATAAACAGCAAAATTATCTGGTCCTTTATTCCTCTAGGATAAGTGCTTTCCTGGTGACCCTTCCCACGTGTGGTGCACCGTAAACACCCCAGCGTGCTGTACTTGGGCGTCTGTGTCAGACTCAGGATCTGTGTCCTTCTCTGTCCCTACAGTCCTAATGTTGAATCTATAATTGTACCTGTACTTACATATACTTATTCGTTATTTTGGCTACTTATCCTCTTCTTTCATTTCTAAATACATTCTATCCATTCCCTGTATTTTCCTTTGAAACTTCAAAGTGAAGTTTGCATATTAAGATCGTACTTGGATTCAAGAGTCTGGTGTCTCTAAGCCTAGAATAAAATATTTTCCCTCAACTGTTTACTGATCTCTCTCCCTCCCTCCCTTCCCTCTCTGGCTCTCTCTTGCCCTCTCCCCCTGTCCGTGCTTCTCAGGTGTTCAGATGATGTTTCATACCTTCCACCTCGAGAGCTCCCACGACTACTTACTGATCACGGAGGATGGGAGTTTCTCTGAGCCCGTGGCCAGACTCACGGGCTCTGTCCTGCCGCACACTATTAAGGCAGGTTTGTTCGGAAACTTCACCGCCCAGCTTCGGTTCATATCAGACTTTTCCATTTCCTACGAGGGCTTCAACATCACATTTTCAGGTACGTTGTTCTTGTCAGTGGTGTCTCTGCTCAGGCGAGGAGAGACCCTTTCGTGGGAGCGTGTGTGTGCACGTCCATGTGTGTGTTGTGTCTGAGCAGCGGTGAGCCTTAGCTGGTGGGCAGAGGAGGCTGAACCTCCTGGAAGAAGTATGAGAAGACACCTACCCAGCGGCCACAAAAGGACACTCCGCAAATTCTCATTCCTGCAAAACTGTCAATATCACTAAGTTCTCCTGAGAAACCCTTCTCACTCACGTCTCCTCATCAATTCTATCAAAATTTCTGGGCCAACTGTCCTCGCTGGGAAAGTCTCAGGGGAAGCTGGCACCTGAGGATGTTGGCTCCTGCCCTCCAGTGGAGGCCAGTGCTTGTCTGGAGAACCACCTCGAGAGTGAAAAAGCAAAAGAAGGGTGAGCACACACCGCTGAGAACGAGCTTTTCCTTCGCTCCAATGCAGTCGTGCACACAGACAGCCATCTTCCAAAACGGTGTACCATGTTTAATTATGATACTTACATCGTATTTGTGCAGGGCTTCTGTTGTCTCAAACACTCTGCCCAGGCTAGATTGCTCACCGTGAATGGTGCCGTGCGTGGTATCACCGTGTTTTCATGGACGAGGGGAAACGACGCACACTTAAAAAACGGTCGGCCATGAACGAGATGCACTTAATCACGTGAGCCGTGTTTAGTGACCGGATGATGGTCAGAGCCCTGCAAAAACAGATAGAGCCCTCACCGTCACAAAGGGGCTCCTGTTCTAGGATTCTGAGGGGTGTAAGCAGCTGCATAAATTTGCATTTCTGCATATGATGCTTTGAAAAGAAGAGCGTTCTTTCAGCTTCGCTCCTCACAGCCCAGAGCTGATGCTGTTTTTGTAAGGTAGTACCTGAGTCCCATAATCACAAGTGATTTCTTCTACTTTGAAGCTCCCATCAATTCCTTAATGACCTCTGATGCCACTTACAAGATCCTTTGTCCCAATAGAGGAGTTTTTATCTGATCTCCTGTTGTAACGCTGAAATGCTTTCGCAAAGACTTTCTGTGCTTTCCACCTTTCCACCAGCGGCAGGTGTATTTCCTGTGACTTACACACAGTAGGAAGCTAATAATCACTTCTCTGTATTGCATGATCGTTAGCAACGTAGGCATTGAAGTGCTGTCTTAAAGAAAAAGACTTCTTGGAGATTTTAAGATGCTCTGGACTATTCTATACTCCCTCTAATTACGACCAATTGCCATGTATCTTTATCTGACTTTGTTGATTTTTCCTGGCATTTCACTGCACTAGTGGAACTCTTGGGACGAGCTCAGATGACTTGATTTCTTGGAAATTTGCCGTAATCAAGGGTAATCATGAAATTGCCTGCTCTATGCAACAAAGACTTAAATCTTCCTAACACTAATGCCTAATGCCTCTATATAGTCTTTCCTGGTGGATCTCAGTTAGGGGCACTGTGAGAATGTCGTTCCCTCTGTTCTCACTTTCATCAAGATCCAAACTGAAGTTACCCAGAACACTTTAAAAGAAAGGAAGTGGCCTCGATGCAAGTCTGTGAATCCCTTCCCTAGATGTTTCTCAGGAGTCGGTGTTGTTCCCACCATCTGTTTCTTAAATCCATTGCTCCCAGCACAGAGCGGACAGTAAGTCTTTGGATTACTGAAGGTCAGAATTCAAGTCTAGAGCTGACTTCTTGCACAAGCTCCCTAAACAAACAGACAAGCAAACAGGCAAGACGAAACACACTTCTCTGGGTCTTTGAAGCTTTTTGAAATGGTTTTAAAAGATTTTAAAACATTGGGGCACCTGGGTGGCTGAGTCTGTTAAGCACCCAACTCTCCATCTCAGCTCTGGTCTTGATCTCAGGTCCTGAGTTCGAGGCCTGTGTCAGGCTCCATGCTGGAATTTAAGAAAAGATTTAAGAAATATTTAAGAAAATCTTAAAAACATTTAAAAAAAAAAATAATGGGGCAACAGTTGGGAACATGTGGAATGATTCATTCGCACACACCCAATGGAAGAAGGATTTCTAAAGCCTGCAGAAGGGATCACCTTATTATCCAGGCTGTGTCACAGGCAAGCTCAGTCTGAAAAGAAAGACACACCTGGGAGGACACAGCCAGTGCTGAGGTGAACTTGCTGTCCCGATGCGCTGATGTGTGATTTCATTTGCAAGGATTTGGCCTTGACACTGGTCGCCGACGATTGCCAGCGACACCAATACAATGGAGTTTATTTCTTTAAGTGTCCAAATAGGCAGCAAGTTTATCATGCAATTGAAGAGTTTTCCCTTCTGGGGACATTTCAGATGTTTGCCTAAAATCAGTATGGTTTTATGTCTGTTTTTCACCAGCTGGTCTGGTTTACTTCTGTCTTCTCTAGAAGGTTTTATCCGAGCAGCATTTCCCTCATCATGAGACAGCTCACAGAACAAAGAGAACCATGTATAAGTTCTGGAGGAGTTTGAAGAAATGTATTTATGTACCTGTTTAATAACAGCCATTGTTTATTCTTGCTAACTACTCTTTGAGTATTTCCTCAATTTCCCACAAACGGAATCTGTCTCTTCATGTCTCAGAGTATGACTTGGAGCCTTGCGATGATCCTGGTGTCCCTGCCTTCAGCCGGAGAATCGGTTTTCACTTCGGAGTCGGGGACTCTCTGACCTTTTCCTGCTTCCCAGGGTATCGCTTGGAAGGCGCAAGGAAGCTTACGTGCCTGGGTGGGGGCCGCCGTGTGTGGAGCGCGCCTCTGCCAAGGTGTGTGGGTAGGTGGTCACACGCTTTCATTCATTCATCCAGTGGGGGCGGCGCGTGCTGGAGTCAGGACGCAGGGCCGGTTTGGCCAGGAAGGCGGGCGGGGGTTGGCGTGCCAGACAGCAATGGGCACCCTGGTGCCCTGGGGACCTGAGCCCCTCTGGACTGTACTCCCCTTGTGGATACAGTCATCTCTCTAGTCTCCCGCCTCAAGAAGGGTGAATCTAGAGCTCGTGCCAAGCATGTTTATGAAGGAAAAGTGGACATGTAGCCAAAAATAATCTGGAACAAAAGGAAAGGTAAAAGCGGGAAGCCAGGCTGCGTTCACACAATCGTTGGCAGTTCTATCACTTAAGAGCAGTGAGTGTCTCCCGGGATGATGATGGTGACAGTTTCAAAGACTAGTTTTGTTGTTCTCACTGTTCCGTTCGGCTCTCTGGTTGGGTGACCGTGGCTTGCTGCTGCCACGTGGGCATTGTACAAGTCTCAGGGCTGAGTTGGCCTCTGCAGTGCGTTCTGGAAGCATTCAGGAGGGTTCCAGAAACAGGCGTCTTTAGTCTGTACTTTGAAACGAGGTGCTGTGTTAACACAGTGGGTTCTGGAGGTCGGTTCGGTGGGGCTCCACTTCCTGCTAGTCTGGGAATGAGCTAGCATAAGGCACGGAGCAGAGCAGAGCTGTGTGGACAGGCCTCACTAAGTACGGGATGCCTCCTGCTCGTCTAGGGTCTGGTTATCCCCAAAGACAATGTCGACACCCGCCTCTCGGCCGTGTTGCTGCTTGTGAAGGGTTGACAGTCTGTTCTTTCAAGTTACAGAAAACGGCCTAATGCCATCTGGAGATGTCGCCACAGCCCGCTTTAGCTCTGAGCCTTCTGAGTCACGGGGCTCCGTGATGCATCCTGCTCTAGTCCTCCCGGTCATACAATACATGCAGGCGGCCAAGTCGTACAGACAAGAAGATTTCATACAACTACCAGATTGTAACTCAGTGAAACCCATTTCTCTCTTCAATTACCAGCATGGTTTAGGGATATTATTAATTTAACTGGTGACACCATCTTTTCGTGTCTTAATGATAGTCCCACAGTCAAGACTTCCTTTACAAAGAAATTACACAGGTGAACATGAATCAAATCATCTTCCTCTCTCACCAGGGCACATGTCTTTCAACGTCTGTCATCTTGCTTTCTCCTAAAATAGTGGTTCTCACCTTTTTGGGTTTATGATTTTTTTTCTTTTTTCTTTTTCTTTTTTTTTTAAAGATTTTATTTATTTATTTGACAGACAGAGGTCACAAGTAGGCAGAGAAGCAGGCAGAGAGAGAGGAGGAAGCAGGCTCTCCACTGAGCAGAGAGCCCGATGCGGGGCTCGATCCCAGGACCCTGAGATCATGACCTGAGCGGAAGGCAGAGGCTTAAACCCACTGAGCCACCCAGGTGCCCTGGGTTTATGATTTTTAATTGAGACTTGGATATCATTTTTGAACAGGGTCTCAAGAAAAAGAGATACTTTGTACATGATCCTAGGAATTCCTGGAGTTGCCTAGAATCCACGTTTCTCAAAACTACAATTATTGAACAAGACAGTTTAAGATCTGCATGAAACTCCTGACCCAATGAAATCAAGGCTTTGTTCCACACACATAACGTTCAGTAGTTTACTGATTATCATATTCTGTTCCCAGTTTCTCTGTTTTATATAGATTCATCATCTGTACACTGTCACTCTTGTTACTGGAGTTTTTACATTGTCCAAAATATAAAATAATGATAAACAATTGATATCCGTTGAGCCTAATTCTGGATGCCGCGCTGCTCTGCGCTCTTTACACATATTGACTCATTTAATTCCCTGGAACTAATGAGGTAGGCATTGTAGCTGTCCCTTCCGTTGTACTGATTAGGACACTAAGAGGCAAAGGGTCTAGGACCTTTGCCACGGCAGGGAGTTCCAGATCTGAAAGCAGGCTTCTCCCCACTGCTCTGCATGGGGACAACACACGGGGGCCTGGCTGTGCCCTTCCCATATTTAGCCTCTTGTATTTTTCCCCAGTGTTTCCTGAATTTCCTTCCAGCCTATCTGGCTACAACGTTCCTAGAAATAAACATGTTCCTCTTGGCGGCAACACCCTGGCGGACCCACGAGGTAACTCGGACTGGTCCATATTTCTTCTTTCCTCTCAGTCTCCACGTGTGATTAGTTGTTGTTTGAAGGAGTCTGTGTCCCACTTGGTTCTCGAGTCAGTGTTCCTTGCCCATTCTGTCTGCTCCAGCCCTGGGAACATTCTGCCAGGCTCCAGGACGGAGCTCCGGAGGGATCCATCCAAATCCAAGCCCCACCATCTTCCCCCTTAGGAGAACCTACCAATTAGCCCCCCGTAATATTCAGAACTGGCACCACTGCGATTCTGTGGTGGCCGCACAAGGCTCATTACTCATCGGGGAGACTCCCCGGTTCCCTGCACAATCCAGTCTGGTCCTGAAGCCAGAGCATGGGAAGTCTGCCCAGGCTCATGGTCACCATAGTTCTCTGTCCCTCTGTGTCTCTGTCCGTGCTGCCCCCTCACTGCCTAGCGCACATCCCGCTTTCCTGTCAGGCTGGCGCTTCCTCATTGTTTGAACTCATCTTACATGTGGTGTAAGCTGTCTCTCCCTCGTCACCTACTGGCTGAAGGGGGGCCTCCCTAATAACAGCGGGACTCCATTAACGTTCCTCCACGTTTCTGTCTCCTATTAGGCTGAACTTTACAGTGGGGGCTACCTGATCCCCCAAATCCAGCTCTGTGCCTTATTTCATAGGTGCTTGTCAACGCTAAAGATTCCTTCCCTCCAAACCTTCTCTCTTGATCTCAACATTTTGATTCTATGCCTGTGTTTCTTCTTTTAAAATCACAGAAATAAGAGTGATCAATCCATAGCCAAAAGTTGCAAATCCATTCCAGAAATCACAAGTGACACGGGAAGAATGTCTACTGAATGACGAACATGCAATTTTGTTTTTCCCTAATAAGCATCTCATCTGAAGTAGAATTTCTAATGAACACCTAAATTAAAAACTATTTTTCTCTTCATCAATTCCCTCAAAATTCAAGAGAAATGATCTTTTTGCTTGCATTTATTCATTTTAGGGCTATTTCCACCTAATTATTTATTTAGGATACTGGAAATAACATCATTCTGCGCTCCACATGCATAACAAAATGTGCAAGCCCTTTCTTGTGCCCCCTTTTATATTACATTATGTGCATATCATTCAATATATGTCTTTTTTTCCTTACAAGTTAAAGAAAAAGGTACTCAATTGGTCTAAGTAAAAATGAAGGTTTACTGGCAGTATGACTAAATAATCATAAATTGGGACAGCGTCAGGGGAGGTTTGATCAAGGACTTGACTTTGTGACTGAGGCCTTGTTATCTGTGTTATCTCTCCTGTTATCTGTCAACCTGGGTGCTGGCTTTATCCTCAGGCTCCACGTGGCCCTGGGGAAGCACTGGGCAGCAACTTGCTCTCCCCAGGGGGCTTCCTCAGACCAGGCTCTTACATCAGCATATAGTGCTGCAATGCCAACATCACGCTGTCCAGTGAAATGGCTTTCCCAGGATGGCTTCTGGGTAATAGCTGGATTGCCTCAGATTGGCCGAAATCGAGTCACGTGCCTGTTTCTGACCAATCACTAACCAGGACAGTTTTGGTTATCTTAGGATATTTAGGGACCAACATGCATAGGTGTTGAAGAATGAGGAAAAGCACATATTTTATGATATTTGTGATATTTTGTGACAGCCTGTTGGGGAAAAAAAAAAAACAAAACCTAGACAGAAGAGAGCAGACATGATTCAAATGGGTATCTACTAGAATTCCCTAATCTAATGTTGCATCTATGAACAGTTTTGAGCACAAAATTTTCTCAGGCAGAGTGTGATAAGCCTTTATTTCTTCATCTGATCAATTACCAAATAATATCTGCTCAGAGAATTAAAAAAAAAAATCAATGAAAGCAAGAGTTATCCTGTTGTGGAATATCTGCATTAATTCTATTTTTTAGACAAAGTAGAGTGTCCTTGGATGGAATAAAATGGGGGAAAATTGACAGTGTTAGCGTAAATTGTATAATGGATTACAAATATTTCAGAGAGCATAGGAGAACAACATAGCTTGCCTGTATTTTGATAAACTAAATTTAACTCTAAATCTTTTGACCAATTCTATCTAAATATTATATTCCTATGCCAACCAGTCTATTGTTTCCATTTATTTCTTTAATTCTTAGTTTAAAACTTTGAAACAAAATTAAAAACTGAAACTAATCTCTGTTGAGTCTTAAAAGTTAACTCAATGATAGAATTAAATTAAGGAAATAAAGGTTCATAGGATAATAAATAGATTAAAATTTGGATCAGCATTATATGCAACTCATATTTTTTTGTAAAAATAAGATTGCGCATTTAAAAAAAATATATATATAATAGAGTTCATGTTTGCAGACTCTATAAACAATAAAACTTCATATACATAGTCATATATACATATATATGTGTGTGTGTGTGTATATGTATAATGATTCCATTTACTGATTTGTTTTTATTTAAGAACCAAAATATTGTTGGTTTGAAGTAGAAAGGAAGTAGGTTTTCTGCCTCCCTTTCATAGTCAAACTACTTTCAATGTCTGTGCTCTTCAAACAATTCTCTCAAAGCATATATACATGTGTTAATTAATGTAAAATAATCAACTTACAATTTCAAAATGTTCTCAAAGACCCCCACTGCAATTTCCACAAAACTTGAATAACCACCACCAAACACCTTCATATCCAGCCACTTTGTTAAGAAAGTCCGCTCCCTGTGGCGTGGGAGACACTGGACTTCCTCACCTCTACTTAAGGGCAAGTCGGGCAAAGAGACTTGAATCCCCAAGCTTCTTATGTGCATAAGGAGCACAGACTCTGCTGTGGGCAGTGGCCTTCCAGCCTCCAGAGCTGTGAGGAGTCCTTGCCTGTCATTCAAGCCCT